TCACCACTTTTACTAATTAAACACTGCAAAGCTCAATTGACAGTTTATCAATAACTTAAATTGTTAAGCGTTGTGGCAACGTTAGTCTTTTATTTGCCATGGTAAACAGATTTTTGTAATTTTTGGCCTAATAACTTAAAGAGCAGAGTAATTTTCAAACTTAATTTACTCGAAAACCATTGGAAATATCGATTTGGACAAAGATAACATTTTTTACGTAAAATTGTTAAGATTTTATAAATCTGTAAAGAAAATTGTAAAAAAATTGAAATAAAAAAAATTAAATTACGGGCCGAAAACCCCTTTTGCCAACCTAAATGGGACGCATATGATTTGCATGTCGAAAAACGGAGTAGCCCATGTTATTTAATGTAAAAAGTTATGTAAGACCCATAAATTTTTTTCTATTTATTTGCTACCGTTTTGTCAATAACAGAAAAAAAAACAGTTTTGTTTGAGCCCTTTTAAGGGCATATAACCTCCTAAGGGTGCGTTTTAGGGCACATGTTAATAGGAACTTTTTGGCTTATTTTAATGAGTTATAAACGCACCAGAAGTTTGTAACCCTATTTTAGAAACACCCTGTATACAAGTGTCGGATAAAAATTTATTTAGGTCGCTTTTCTTAGTCGCTTAATTTTACATTAGTCTGGATGCCAATGGGGAACATATAGTGTGTTCGTCACGGTCTAATTTCTGTTAAGGTGTACTTCTTAAGGCACTTGTGGCAGAGCTCCGTAACGTAACAATGAACATGTTACGGCCTGTTGCAAAAGGTGGCATGGTTCGCTGCGAAAGTATGTGTGATTTTGGTCGTATCATTCATTCCGTAACGTAACAAAATAAGGTTACGAGACAACAAGGGAATAAACTCGCAGTATGAACCTGACTGCAATAATGGATTCGTCACTGCAATTGCAGTTAGCAGCAGCGTCATATATTTTTATTCATCATACAATTTTGAAGAATAAGAAAATAAGAAACGGAAATCTCCGCGATGGTGGATCTCAAAACTGTATCAGAGTAGGACGATACATAGTGGATCAAGTTTGTTGACGGATTTAAAATTCCAACATATAAGTGGACTGTACAAAAATTTCTTTAGAATGTACCCCACTGATTTTGCACAAACACAGAAAAACACACTCTTCCTAGTCACTGCAGAAAACAAACTGACCCCAGACCATATACAAAAGACTGACGAAACAAAAATAAGACAAAACCACATGTGCAACAGGCAACGTTACGGCCAAAAGGGTAACCGCGTCCCAACGTGTTGGCAGAAAGTACTGTTGCATCTCTTTGACGCGACGATTAAAAACCGACAACTGATGGTTCGTCCCGGATTAGTTACGCGTGTCAAATTTGTTACAAGTACCATGCAACAATTTTCCGTCTCTACTAGCTGTAACGTAACATGTTCGGTGTTACGTTACGGGGCATTTGACACAAATGGATACCCGCCTTTACACTTATCTTCTGGATCTCGTGGATCCATTTGGAAATTCGAAATCGTTAGAATTAATATAAAAGAAATATATTGGAAATTGTAATAATTTAAAATATAAGTATATAGATTCACTGTCTGATAATTAGTATTAGTTTTAGAATATATGATATCGTAAAAAAACTATTTTTGAACAAATGTATTTGTTACGAAGTGAGGTAAGAGTGGCAAGAACAGTGTTAGGGAATCGAGGCGTCACCCGTTGACAGACATTTACCATGTATATTTGTATATATCTTTTATCTAAGGACAGTTACAACACAGACATTATAGATTGCAGTTCACTCCAAAACTTTGTAAAAAGCAAATCATAATTTAAGAATTAAATCATTCAATCATTTATTTCGTTCAATCACATCATACAAAAAAAATACAGTCCACTTCAAATTCACAACAGTATTTAAATTTCGATATCCAATGAAAATCGTTAATTAAAATTAATTGTGTGCGACGTTATCTTTACATGTTGTAACGAGTTTTATCACATTGTATACAGTAAGTATACACAAGCTTATTATTAGTAGATCACCATTAGTTAACCCTCAGCATCCGCATGAGTAGGTATGGTTACCCGATTTTTAAATGCTAAATTCTTTATTTGTCAAATTCACGGTGGCACTGTGGAGAGAAAACTAACAACTAGGAGATCGGGCGAGATTCGCGAGAGGGACGGACGTGTTTGTTAATTAGGCGTGGAAATTTGGAAAATCAAAGTTAATCTCAGTCATCCATTGTTTGAATATCGATTTTTGTGTAATTAGTTAAAGTAGAGTGTACAATCATAATGTAAAGTTTAATATGTATTTCGTGCAGATAGCAGATACGTTGCTTTTTGGGGTTTGTTTTCGCGTGTATAGTCTCGAGTGTTCGTTACTATAACGTAGTCCCGAATTGTAGCCTGTGATTATATACAGGTGGTTGCTGGATATCCCCGTGGTTCCCTGAATCAGAAAAATTCATTTTGGAGAGTCCACTGTATGTGTGAACGAAATTTTAGGACCTTCACCTTGTCGTGCTCCGCTCAAGCAGATGCGTTCTTACTGATTTTCTTAATTGGTGAGGGCTTAACTGCTAAGAGTAGTTATAGTTTCTGTGGGTTCTGGAATCACAGGGAATTCACAAGTGTAATGGTGTTGTAAACCGTGAGTAGCCTATCTGCCGAAATCTATCTGAAATCTAGCCGAAATATCGATTCACGATTTTCCAACTGTCCTAACCCCTACATATATTGTTACTTATATTTTTCCTTGCTTATTACCGCAATCGTTGTAGTTTTTTTTTCCAAATTTATTAGTATCGAATGTTCTAGAATTCTCAGTATACCTACGTCATATCCGTTACCGCCATTTTGTGAGCTAGTCACTGTCAATTTCGTTTTTAATCATACTTTTTAGCCGGTCATTTTAGTTGAAATTTTAAGAATATTTACTACACCCTTTTTGCAAATTTTGGTGATTTTTATTTGCAAAACTAATTTTATTTACTTCCGTATTTCAATTGTATAGTACCTTCTTGATTGTCACTTCTGTTCATTAATATCTTCGGGTTGTGATAAAGGAATTTTCATTTTCAAATTTTAACTTTTGCAATTTTTTTAGTAGAATTGTTATTGTAAATTTTAGTCAACGAGTAATTTGTTATTGAGCTTAAATTATGTTTTCACCCAGTTTTCTTTACATCGTTACGAACTTTCTTCAAAAGTTTGGATACAGGGTGAGACTTAGTCCCTGTCACTAATTAAAATTTTAATCATCATTAATTATACGTAGCATAGTTAGTAACCTATTTTCACATTTGTAACGTTTGAAAATTTTTGCTTGTTTTTAAAACTTATTGTACATTATTGGTAATCCGACTTGAAAATATTTTCCATGTAAACCTGCTCTGGCCTTTGACACAATTACGAGGCATAACGAGTACTCGTACACAGCCTGGGTCTGATCTTCGTGTACGCCTCTGCCATCCGAGCCACCACTGCAGCTGTCGCTGGACCACTTGTCATAAGCCATTGACATCTACCACCATTGGCTTTCTCCGCTTATAACCATGCACACCATTAGCATGGAAGGTTCCAGTTCATCTGACTAATTGACCATCGCTTGAGGCACTTGGAGGCAGGCAATTTGATATCCATTGTACTGTTGGTGAGGTGTTTTTGTATTGGCCAGAGGACTAAACGACATATCACTACGTTCTGTATAACCTTTCTATTTTTCCAGTAATCAATAGTTTAGATTAATATTTATTTGAGTAACTTACAATTTTAAATTAATTCCTAATATAAAGTAGTGGTAAAAAAATTGCAAATGTAACTAACTTCTATATTTTGAATAGATGTATTTCAATTTTTGTTTCTCTTTTTATTAAGTCGAATTCCCTAAAGTAATTTAGTACCAGTGGTAAATCACCTGGCACCTAAACAAGTGACCAGCAGAGACAAAGGTTTCCGATCTTACGGAAAGCGATCCCCCCTTGACCCCTGAGTTAGCAGGAGCTAATTTTAAACTTCCACGGAATTGCCAATTATTCCATAGGTGGAAACCTACAGTTTACTCTAGGGTAGTTTCAATGTCTGAAGTATAAATTGTTATAAGTATTACATTAAAAGTAATTAACTATTGTTTGTCATTTATTTATGGCAAATTTTTTTTATCATTTACTATCTTGTATATTTAATCGAATTTTAATAGATATAAGTGGTTTAATCAGTGAACCTTATTAATTTTTGTGTGGGTACGCTCGTCTTCAACTACCTTATTTTGTTGTTCTATCCGTTATAAGACATCGGTTGGCGCCCAGGAAGATTTATTTAATACTAGCATAAAAACAATAAAAATATATTAAAGAACATTTAGAAGCGAACGCGACCTTTTCCTCATTTACAATTAGAGCAGTTGGGTTTGGTAGTCAGTCCTCTTAAATGTTACTCGATCAGTTCTTTTTCTTTTTTGAGAATATATGCATTTACATATGTATGTATGTATGTACATAAATTACTTTATATGTATGCTTATTTCGTCATGTTTCTATATCTTATATTGTGTGTACTATTTGCAGAGAGGAGTAAGTATTACTATTTGTGTTACAAAGTATTTTCTCTGTTTAACGAGCATCTCTTAACGAACACAAAATTAGCAATGGACAAAGCCTGCTCAAGATATTTTGCTGTACTGATTTTTATCAATACACCTAAGCAATTCCTTTCATTTTTTCGACTTACCACGGTAACATCAAAAAGATTGCACTTAAAATATAGCTTGTTGTTTTACAAAATTATAGAAACACCCTGCACACATGCCAATATTAAAGAAAAATAGGTACAAATAGAGATAGAGTTTATGTTTACCTTTCACTGTAAGTTACTTCCAATTTAACATCGACTTCCTCATTCTTGATATTGATATTTTCATTCAGTGTGATCTGTTCCTCGGGTTCAATTTCTATTTCATCGTTGCTGGGCTCTTCGGTTTTAATGCACACATTCAAATAGTCAGCTTCCATGAAAGCCTCCGTTTTAATGTTACTTTCAGGCACATTCGTTTCTGGGCCACACATCTCGTTTTGTTTCAGACCTTCCTCCTGTTCTTCCGATGAAAATTGTATCACGTCCTTTAAATCGATAAACGTAATGTCTTTTTCTTTACGTTTACGAAAGTCCATTATTTTTTCTTCTACATCCATGCAGCTTTGGAGGAAGTTGCAAATTTGTTGAACGCTTTGGTGGCAGGTTTCGCAAATCACAGGGTTCTTGTCTTTTAAGTCCTGAAAAATAATAATTTACTTAGCGAGATATGAAAATTTCACTTTATTGCATGAATAAAAATAATATTCGTCAGAGGGGTAAAAAATAACGGATGTATTATATTGTCAACTATAAGTATTTCAGAGAGAGGAAGAGTAATTTTCAAAATTTAAATAAGCACTTTGTAATTCTAGTAAAAACTTTGAAAGTTAAATATGTGTAGACAAACAGCATTACTTTATTTATTTATTACCGCGTTATCGTCCGCATATATGTCTTATATGATTCTATCGACGATTATGAACTCATACACCGTTGCAAATTTTTGCACACATAATATCGGTTTGTCGGTAATAATATATAGTAATGATTAGTCGCAACGAATTTGAATGAAAGTAATTACCTTATTGGGAGCAGATATATTCTGGGAATTACTATGGGTAGGACAACACAATTTGGGGAAAAATAAACCAATGCTATAAACTACTAAACTGGGATGAATTCTTGAAAGAAATTTCATTCAAGGCAAAAATAAAGATAACCTACATAATTCAATGGTATATACTAGCACAACTATTAATAACGTTGATGATTATAATCAATATTCTGGCGATGAATTGCATTGTAAAAATCACTTTGCAAAAACAGTAGAATGCACCGATACAGAGTGATTCATAGTAAACATCTCATTTAAATCAAACGTACACCAGCTTGGCGCTTCCAGAGAATCTGCATTAAAAAGATTTTACTCCTTAGAGAAACAATTGGAAGTTAACCAAGAATTAAGAGACAAATACATAAAATTTTTAACGGAATATGAACAGTTAGCTCACATGACAAAAATGTCGGAAATTTCAAGTTCAAATCCTCATTTTTATTTATCTCAACATGCTGTGATAAATGAAACAAGTGTTACAACAAAAGTTCGTGTAGTTTTTGACGGATCCGCAAAAACGTCAAGCGGGATTTCATTGAACGATACTCAATACGTCGACCCTAAAATACAGCAGAATTTATTCTCCATATTATTACATTTCCGCAAGCATACATGTATCATAACCCGCAGACATAGCGAAAATGTACCATCAAGTACTAGTACAAAATAATCTGAGCAATTTACAATAAATTTTATAAGTATCTGATAAAAATCAACCTACAAATTGTTACCAATTAAATAGTCACAATGATCCTCAACAATTACATATTAAATTTGATAATGACGATCAAAATAAGGCCCTGGGTATTCTTTGGGACCCTAATGCAGATAACCTGCTGTATTCTATACAATGAAATTCAAAACAAATCAAAGTGACAAAAAGATCATTTCTTTCTCTACCAGCTCAAATTTTCGACCCTCGAGACCTTTTAAGTCCCGTAATTATAAATGCAATGAAATCGAACGAGGTAATTACAAAATACAAATTACAAGATATACATAATATAGCAAATAAATTTAAGGAAAAGGCAGAAGAAAAAATAGCAATGAGTGAAAATTAGTGGGAAAATATGAAAAACAAAAATCAGACAAGATGGTGGAATTTAGAAATAAAAAATTAAATTAAAACTAAGAAAAAATTGTGGAAATATAAAAAAACAACGATTTAAAGTAAAAGAGATGGTTATACAAGCAAAAGATAATTCCTGTGAAGAACACAAAGCTTTAAAATACAATAAAATCAATACTAACCTATGGCAGTGAAACATCTAAGAAAAATTAAAGGAATAACCAGACGAGACAGGCAGAGAAATGACATGGTAAGAGAATAGTTAGGAGCAGAATAATAGAAAAACTTGAAAATAAGGAGGAAAAAAGAACATACATTTCCCATTTACATAAAATGATAACAGCGCATTGGTGCAATGATATCGGCTGCCTCGCCAATAAAGTTCTAAATGAGGAGACAGTCCAAACAGCCCAAAGTTGCTACCTACCGCAGAGGATGTTTCTCGATTTAATAAGTACACCTCTTCGTTGGCTAATGAAGCTTATGAGAAAATAATGAATAATGAAAATGTTGAAATGAATATGACACACTAACCAAATGTACTTTAGCTCTTCTTTTATTATTTAATCAACGAAGAATTCGAGGAATTCAATTTCTAGATATCGAAAGTTACGAAAGACCTGAAAACACAAATCAAGAGGAAATGTTATCATGTCTCATAGACTTTGAAAAATCTTTATGCGGCATGTTTAAGAGGGTCATTGTATTTGACAAAAGTTCGAAACTTGTCCCTACCCTATTTTCTAAGAAAATGAAAAAATATAGACTGGACTGGGGCATACACATAATCTTATTACGCTTAAGCCTCATACAATAACACAATTTCATTTAGTTGTTTCATAACCACTATTTTGTTAGCATTATAAAAGTGTGTTGTAAAAAAATTAATGAAAATGGCTAGTAATCGTTCAAGGAGAATTCTTAGTATAGCTTTGTACATGAATAAAATGTCAAATGAAGGTAAGAGCATATTTAAAAAAAATAATAATTTTACTGATTGCTCCTTTATTAGAATTTAGTAGTGGCAAGTCTAATAATGATCCATACAGTTCTACTGATAGTTTAGCAGATCCAAATTATNACATGTAAGAGAATAGTTAGGAGCAGAATCCGTCCTTAATGTCATTGATAGAAATCAACTATACGGCCATATAAGCAGAATGAATGATAATAGTCAAGTTAGAAGAATTTGGGAAGCACGAATACAGTGTAAAAAAAGTAAAAGAAGACAAGAAAATTTGGAACGATGAAGTGGCAGCAATCTTGAAGAAAAGAAAACTGAAATGGACAGAAACAAAAATAATGGTAAAGAACAAAAAACAATGGTCAAAATTAGTATATGATAAGTAAATATAGTGAAATGTAATAGTCTCAATGCAATATAAATACAAAACTAATAATTAAAAAATTATGGCGATATAAAATATCATTGGCTCTGTGGAGAGTTTATATTGAGAAAACATAAGAGAAAACAAGTACTTAATCTCAAAAAATTCGTAATATGGCTGAACTTCTTATTGCTCTGATGAGATCAACTACTGTTTCAAAATTTCTAAATTTATTTTTGAAATCTGTAATGTATACTTATGTTTAGGCAGCTACTAAAGTAATTGCCGGATATGAAGCCAATACTCTGACATTTGAAAGCCCCTCTTTAGCACTTCAGCTGGGTATGAATCAAAAAATTTGTATGCCGCATTGCAAAAAGGCTGTCACCACCCTTATAATAGAAAAACTTGAAAATAAGGAGGAAAAAAGAACATAAATTTCCCATTTACATAAAATGATAACAGCGCATTGGTGCAATGATATCGGCAGCCTCGCCAATAAAGTTCTAAATGAGGAGACAGTCCAAACAGCCCAAAGTTACTACCTACCGCGGAGGATGTTTCTCGATTTAATAAGTACACCTCTTCGTTGGCTAATGAAGCTTATGAGAAAATAATGAATAATGAAAATGTTGAAATGAATATGACACACTAACCAAATGTACTTTAGCTCTTCTTTTATTATTTAATCAACGAAGAATTCGATGAAAATGTCAAATGAAGGTAAGAACATGTTTTTAAAAAAAAATAATTTTACTGATTGCTCCTTTATTAGAATTCAGAAGTGGCAAGTCTAATAATGATCCATACAGTTCTACTGATAGTTTAGCAGATCCAAATTATAATCCAACTGACAGTGACTTGAATTTTGATTCGGATTGTGCTGGCGTTGGCAATAATGAATTTATTACAGGTAAGTATAAATTTACATTTTTGTTCGATATCGCTTTTATAGAATCTATCAGTCAACGAAAACCAAGAACATATTCCTGATATTCATAATTCACCAGACACTTTGGCAAATCCAAATGATCACGCAACTGAAAATGTCGAGAACTTGGATTTATATCCAGATGATAACAATAGGGAATTGGAGAATCCGATAATTGAGACAAACCAACAGCAATATGGAAATTTATCATCCAGTGATGTCAGAGAATCAAGCTCAGAATCCATGAACATCCCAATTTACATGCCCGAAACGAACTATGAAGGAAATCGTTTAAATTTTGGAGAAGATTATAAAAGTATACAAGGTATTAACCCAGAATTTGCAGGAGCCTTAGTGGGTTGCAATCCATTTTAAGTATTTTTCTGTTTTTCTTGACAATAAAATTATTAACATTATGGTTGAACAAAGCAATCTGTACGCAACGCAATTACTTTCTGCAATAGAATTTCTTGGTTTGGTGGGGTACATGGGTCTGGTAAAAATGCCAACAATTCGCCATTATTGGAGCAAACACCTAATGTACAAAAATAACTACAAATCTAACATAATGAGCAGAAATAGATTTGAAATTCTCCTGCAAATCTGGCATTTTACAGACAATGATTTGTGTCCTCGGGGGGATCGTCTATATAAAATATAACCTTTACTAAAACTATTTGTAAATAAATTTCAGGAAGTATACACGCCCGGAGGAACATTTTGTATAGACAAGTCGCTTATACCCTTCCGATGAAGAATTGTATTCCGGCAGTATATGCCTCTGAAAATATTCAAGCTGTGTAGTGAACAGGGCTATACATGGAACATGCGATTATACCGTGGTAAAGAACGCGATCAAGGCACAAGTGTTCCTATAAAAGTTGTAATGGGATTATCAGAACAATTGTTAGATTGTGGTGGAACGACCATAACTGATAATTACTACACAAGCCTTGAATTGGCCAATCAATTGGCCAATNAGCAATATGGAAATTTATCATCCAGTGATGTCAGAGAATCAAGCTCAGAATCCATGAACATCCCAATTTACATGCCCGAAACGATCTATGAAGGAAATCGTTTAAATTTTGGAGAAGATTATAAAAGTATACAAGGTATTAGCCCAGAATTTGCAGGAGCCTTAGTGGGTTGCAATCCATTTTAAGTATTGTTCTGTTTTTCTTGACAATGAAATTATTAACATTATGATTGAACAAAACAATCCGTACGCAACGCAATTACTTTCTGCAATAGAA